GCCAAAAGTTTTTAGAGATGACTCACAAAATAGAACTTAAATGTAAACAAGAATTTCCATTCCATATACCTTTGTCTTTTTTTTTCTTTTACTTAATACCAGTACCTCTTTACTGTTACCAATTTTTTGAGTCAGGGTTTCTTTGTATTGTTTGAGGCTGTCAGTCCAGCCTGGCCTCGAATTCACAGAGATCCGCCTGCCTCTGCCTCCCAAGTGCTGGGATTAAAGGCGTGTGTCACCAACGCCCGGTCTCTCTATTTAACACTATGTTGTTATTTTTTTATTTATTTTTTCTCTCAATCCTACTTATATTTTTAAACACACTGTAAACCTTTAGAGGTTTTTCTTCATCCGAGTCTGACTTTACTGTAAATCTTTATGTTTTTCTGACCATGTGTCTTATCTGTTAAAACCGTGGCTGTTTATACTGTAGTTTTTCTAAGATGGCGGGCATAAGCATGGCTCCAGACTATCTCCTCAGTCTATGTTGACATCCAGCAAAAGCTGCTGGCTTGGAGACATGGTCACTGCCACTGCCAGATGCAGGGGTCATATACAAGTTGGTTTTGGGTTTCCCTGATTATTATTAGCAGGAAGGAAATTTCCCTCCCGGTCAGTTTTAGAATAGTAGTCATTGGCCCAATGATATCCCCTTCGACAACGGGAGCATAAACCAGGTCTCTTGAGACCGGTAGTACTATTTTGAGGGCACTCTCTACGGAAGTGTCCCTCCCTACCGCAGCTGAAACATGTTTTTCTCCCTCCCAGAGTAGGTCTTTCTTTCCCCACTTGTGGCCGAATAGCAGCAGCTAACACTTGGCCCTGGATGAAGTTCCCATCAATGTCCCTACAGATCCGGATATAGTCATTTAGACTTTTATTGCGATAGGGGTGAAGGGCTTCCTTACAATATTTATTTGTATTTTCAAATGCCATCTGCTTGATGACTGGCATCGCAGGCCCAATGCCCCCAAATATTCTTTCTGCTACCTGACTGAGATGGTCTACGAAGTCTTGAAAAGGTTCGGAAGGTCCTTGAAGGACTTTGGACAGATGATCCCCTCCTTCCTTGGAAGGCAATGCTTTCCAAGCCCCTTGGGCCGCTGCTGCCACTTGGGCATAGACTGCGATGTCATATTGCATTTGTTGCTGAATGGTGGCATATTGACCACTTCCGGTAAGCATCTCCACATTTCTCTGGGGCTGTCCGGCCTGTGCATTTCTTTGGGCTGTCTGGCTGCATCTTTCCTGAAACTCACCTCTCCAAATCAAATAATCTCCCCCCGACAGAGCTGCTCTGCAAAGCTGCTGCCAATCGCCAGGTGTCAAATTAAGAGTCGCAAAAGATTCCATTAAGGAAAGTGTAAAGGGAGCCTGTGCTCCATAATTTGAAGTTGCCTCTTTAAGTTGTTTTATATCCTTAAATTTTAAAGGGTTATGACACCTAATGACCTGTCCAGAATTGTTCGGATCCGGAACTTCCATTACTGGGGCCACCACCGGGCAGCATTGGACCCCTCCTCTGGGTCTTCCCTCCAGGTCCGAGGAGGACTGGGTTATCTCATAGGAGGAGTCCCTTTTTTCAGAGTATGGGGAAGGGTTTCTCTCCCTGTCCTGTCTTTCCTTAATTCGAATCTTTTTTAGTTCTTTTTAAGGGCCGAGATCTCAGCAAGTAACCATTCCTTTTCAGACTGTGACGAGTCTGAGTCTGAGCTACTTCCATTTTCTAGGTCTGATAGAGAAGGATATAACCGATTCTGACCGGAGTCCTTCTTTTTGGGTCGTGCCCGGAGATCTCTACCCATTTTTTTGTTGTTACTAAGAGACTCCCCCTCATCCTCACTAACAATGGAGCCTCTAGTTTCAGTCACGGTCTCTTCCTCACTCTCTTCCCCTGAACTCAAGGAGGCTTGAGTCTCAGTCTCTTGTAACTCTAAAAAAGCCTCTTTTGTGTCCTGAACTACCTGGTGGTGACAAACCTTATCTGTCAAAAGTGCTCCCCTCACTAATCTCCATAAAGAGAATGTTGTAGGGGGCAAGGACTCAGATCCCTCTTTTCGTAAAAGTCTATGAAGATCACAGCGAACCTCCTCCCAATCTGGAATATTTAAGCTTCCCCCAGTAATGAACCATGGACTGGCTCGTTCGATGGATTTTAGAAAGCCTTCTAGGGTTTTAGACTTGACTGCAGTCCCATGTTCTTTAAGTAACTTTTTTAGTTGATACTGCAATGATTCTAGCTTCCCGGAACTATTCCCCATAGTTTCTTAACCCTGTCCACTTACCTCGCTTTCACGATCTCGGTGGGACCTCCAATTGTGGTGCCAGCACCACAAGCAACTCCAAGGTATCAGGGAAAGAAAGACCAGACGTCCATTTGTTTGTACTAAGAGAATGCATGTGCTGCCTTTATTGCCAGGAGAATGTGTGTGTGTGTGTCTTCATTGCAAGTGCTAAGAGGTCTCTCCCTTGTAGGAGGGAGGAGCTTTTTATACAAGTTTACAGCACAGTGGAAAAAACCCCAGGTAGAAGAGATGTTGTTTTCCTCCTGCTGGATGTTGATGTCAGAGGGTCAAGGCCGGGGCAGTAAGCCAGGACTAGAAAACAGGAAGCACTTCGACTGGAAAACAAGTTGCACTTCTAGGCTGACCAGCAACTCACAGAGATCCCATGGGGTTGGGCCCAACATTCCAGGGCAGGGCAGGCTGAGGAGGCTGGGATATCTGAGAAGAAGCTCAGCTTGGCTTCCAGTGCTTTGAACCCAACCTTGCTTCCCTGTGGAGGCCCACTGGCTGCTCAGCTGCAGTGAGGGACTTAATGCTGGATGTTGGGGCCCTGAATTATAGTCTCAGGCACCATGACCCCCAACAGTTCCCTGCCCCTTGCTTTGGATCAAATGAAAAGGGCTTGCCTCCATGCCCTCCAGTCTCTTCACAGAATGACAGGAAACCATGCCATCCTGCCCAACTTTACCTCCAGCCTGTTTCCGAGTCCTCCCTCTCAGAACCCGAGGGCTCTCCACTCCAGCTGTTGCGGAGTTTGTGAGCCTGGGACATGGTAGCCACCTCTCACCCTGCAGGCAGCATTCCCTGTGTGCTTATTTTCCCATTTTCAAGCTCTTTCTCTGTCTTGAGGTCTTCCTAAGGCATAGCCCCCTTCCCTCCTCCTGTCACACTGCTCTGTGCTGTTGAGTGGGAGAGAAGGATATTTGGCCTCTCACAGGGCCTATCCCTTTCCTCGACGTTGGAAGGCCTCTGTGATGACCGAGTGTGGGGTCCCTGGCATCCTAGACTCTATGGTGTCCTTGCTTCTTCCAGGCACACACATTTCCTTGCTTTGTGTGAAGCTCAGTGGAGTATCCTCTGCCCCGATACTGAGTTTCCTCAGCTTGCCTGTTTTCAAGACAAAGATTGTCCCACCCTACCTGTGGGGGAACCCACCAAAGAGGTAGCAACAGCATCCAGTGCCAAACCCAAAGGCAAAAAAAAGTAATTTGCTGCAATATGTAAACAATTTAATAATTTCCAACTGGTGTTTAATGTTGTGTAAGGTTTCCCTCTACCTGTGACCCCTCTAGGGTCCAGAAGAGGGACCAAAATTCTTGGGAACTTACTGTGTATAATTCTGTCTCCCCACCCCCACCCTGAAAGTGGGGCAGGTGTTACATGTTCTGTTTTAGTGGGGGAAATGCTGGTTGTCAAGAACTGTGTAGTATCTGGAAACTTCATGGTCTTGCTTGGTTCTTACTCAGCCTGAGCTGTAATACTTTATCTCGTTCATACCAAATACTCAGCAGTAAGTGAAACAGCCAGACTTTTGTTGGAGGTTCTGATAGTCAGAAAAGCAGGCGTGATGCACCGAAGGCTACTCTGCCTCGAGGGTTCTACTTTAGTGATCTACAGCTCCTACAACTTGGAATGAAGACCATGGGTAGCCCCCCTGCCTCCGCCTTGCATGACCTGCAAAGGGTGACTGGTTCTTTCTGGCCCTCACGAGTGAGTCAGCGTGTTCAGGTCATGGCCAGAATTTGCATGCTCCTTCGTGAGAAGAGTTCTGTGCATCCTGAGAACATTCCAGTGCTTCTGTTCTTAGAGCTAGAGCCTGGGGCACAGCCCCTGAGGAAGAGGACTATACTTAGCCTGGTCTCCAGAAACAGAAGGCCCCATCCTGAAGCTTGTCACCCTTTGCTCATTTTTAAACTTTCACAGGTTCTGTAGTCCCAGATTCCTGAGCAAACTAGGGTGGTCGGCCACATTCTCATTGCACCCCCATTCTGGGTCTCATAGCTGGACAAGAGATCTTTTTATTTTTATTTGTCTTTTTAGTCCATGTCTTTTATTAACCCATGTACGGTCTTCTGATTTGAAAGTCAGACAATCCCTGGCACATAGACGTCTGTCAAAGTGGCTGGCATACAATACCCCTCTGAAGGGCCCTCTTGATCAAGGTGATTCATTTTGCCGTTTTCATCTGCTTCATAGTATTTCAAGTCAGTCCGTTTAACCTTTTTTCTCATCTGCTTCTTGAGAGTGGTTTTAGACCCTTCACCACTCCTTAGCATTGAGAGGTCTCAGCACAAGATCAAGTGTCACTCCTTTGGAATGTTGTGCTCAAAGTGTAAACATCTTCTGGTTTGTTTCAGCAAAGATCCACCCTTGCTGGTCAGGACTTCCTTCCTTGTGCTAGATTCTGGCTTTTGTATTTTCTGTGGTATCCAAGGGTTCAACCATGATAGACTTGCTGGTCAGTTGCTAGAAAAACCTATGTTGTGGTGGCAGCACCCACATGAGGTTGCTCACAAGCACCTGTAGCTCCAGCTCCAGGAGATCTGATGTCTCCTTCTGGCTTCTACAGGCACACACACATGCATGGCATATACTTTCACAGAGAGACACATATACACATAGATAGATAGATAGACAGACAGACAGACAGGACCTTTAACTTGACTCTGATATCACCCACCACCCCCTTTACTCTCTCTCTGTTTTCCTTCTCAGGTCTATCTGGGAACCCTATAGATCTGGAGAAACGTAGACTTGTTTTTGGACAGAACGTGATACCTCCAAAAAAGCCCAAGACTTTCTTAGAATTAGTATGGGAAGCTCTGCAGGATGCCACTCTCATCATCCTGGAGATTGCAGCCATCATCTCCCTGGTCCTGTCCTTCTATTGACCCCCTGGCGGAGATAACGAAAGTGAATGTCTGACTGAACTGCTCCACGCGGCAGACCTGGGTCCTTTCCATACCTAGTACTAGGTGCTGACAGGTTGTAGTACACGATGTTTCTGTTACCCAGCAACCCTACTTAGTACTGGTGGCTGACAGGTTATAGTACACAATGTTCCTATTTCCCGGCAACCCTACTTAGAACTGGAGGTTGACAGGTTGTAGTACACATGCTTCTGTTACACAGCAGCCATACTTAGTACGGGGGCTGACAGGTGGCAGTATACAATGTTCCTGTTGCCCAGCAGGCTCTGCAAAGGAGAGCAGCCACCATTCTCCTAACCGTTCCCCTTCCCTACCACACCCTCACTCAGAACACCACCCGTCCCGTGTCCTTACATCTGCATCTCAGAGTGTCCTAACCATAGTGCTTGGCATTACGGGAAGTAGCAGTGAGCGCTGACTGCGCTCTGTGTGATTTGCATGGGCGTATTTTGTGCCATTTGGTAATTAACGCAAATAGACCTGCGGATGACGAGAGGACAGTCCATCCTGCTATCCTCTGATTTCACTTCTCAGCTGCATTTTCTGTTGCTCTCTCTCCATGACTTTCCGTCGTCTTGTGGAGGTTGAGGAGGCTCCACCCTCATCTCAATTGCTCTTTCTCCCCTCCCTGGATAGTGTGTGGTCAAGCTTCAAGTGGCCCAGAGGAAGAGGCGGAAGCAGAAACGGGCTGGATTGAGGGGGCAGCCATCCTTACCTCGGTGATCATTGTGGTGTTAGTGACGGCCTTCAATGACTGGAGCAAAGAGAAGCAGTTCCGGGGCTGCAGAGTCGCATTGAGCTTGAGCAAAAATTCTGCATCATCCGGAACGGGCAGCTCATCCAACTGCCAGTGGCTGAGATTGTGGTGGGAGATATTGCCCAGGTCAAATACGGTGAGAGCACCATGTTTCTCTGGCCTGTACTCCCAACACACATTTGAGGAGTGGGTCCATTGACACGAGGCGCTAGGAGTTTCTGAAACACTCTGCCCAGTAATCCCCAGCTTGTGTTGAGTTATCAGGTAGAATTTAAGGAGATTGTGGGAAGGAATTCTGGAGAAAGCCATAGCCAAAACTCTTCCAAGAGACCGTCATACTTGTGTGCAGTGTGGCTTAGCAGTACATAATATTTGGGCCACAGGAAGGTGTCAGTTTGAGATATGTGTGACCCTAGGGATCAAGCCCAGGGCCCTTTGTAGGGTAGGTAGGCCCTTTAACTGAGCCCCACCCCAGCTCTAGAGTTACCATAGAGGCTCTTCAGCTTCTCATGGGACCTATAGGTTTTGCCAGGAGAGCAGCCCTGAGGTGGGATGGAGGAGTTGTCTCTTACCTGCTTGGTCTTACTGTCACCCTTATGCACCAGGTGACATGCTGCCTGCAGATGGAATCCTAATCCAGGGAAATGACCTGAAGATTGATGAGAGCTCTCTGACAGGAGAATCAGATCATGTCAAGAAGTCTCTGGAGAAAGATCCCATGTTGCTCTCAGGTACAGCCTCTGGTTGCCCAGGTTATCATCCCATGGCCTCCGGTAGGCAGGCCATGGGTTCTGGCCCTATTCCCTCTATGGGCTCCATCCTTTCTTCTCTTGGATTCAGATGGAGTAGAAACATGTGGGTGGTCCTGATGCAGGGATGTCAGTAGTCTGACAGAAGTGTTTCCTACAGTGTTATAGGAGCGCTGCTGTTTGGAAGATGGAGTAAAGTTAATACATGAACCTTAACCTCTGTTTGCTTGGTCCATTTTAGATGGGCTCATCTCTTGGCTTTCTCTCACTGCCTTCTGACTAAATTACTGTCCATAAAGATAAGGGAGCACTGTGCTTTTAAGTTTGTATTTCACACCAAATCACACCTGAGAATATCAAACAGCACTCAACTCCATCTTCTCACTTCCCTTTTGAAGGAACTCACGTGATGGAAGGTTCTGGCCGGATGGTAGTGACTGCTGTGGGAATCAACTCCCAGACTGGAATCATCTTCACCCTCTTAGGGGCTAGTGAGGAAGATGAGGAGGAAAATAAGAGAGGTAAGGGGCATGCCAAATGAGAGTGAAATTCTCGTTCATCTCTGGGAGTGAACTAGATGTCAGAGAGCAGACCCAGACGGGAACCTATTAGAAAAGTCTGCTGGGACGAAGTGACAGATACCCAAGCTCTTTGCCAAGATGAGGTGCCACTTGTGGGGCTGGGGAGATGGCTCAGTGGTTTAAGAGCACTGGCTGTTCTTTTGTTTGTTTGCTTATTTTGAGACAGGTTTCTCTGTGTAACAGCTCTGGCTGTTCTGGAACTTGACTTTGTAGACCAGGCTGGCCTCAAACTCACAGAGATCCACCTGCCTCTGCCTCCCAAGTGCTGGGATTAAAGGCATGGGCCACTGCCCAGCTGCACTTGCTATTTTTGCAAAGGACCTGGGTTTGATTTTCAGTGCCCATGTGGCTGCTAATAACCATGTATAACTCCATTTCCAGGGGATCCTATGCCCTCTTCTGGCCTATGTGGACACCAGGCACACACAGGGTATATAGACCTATATACAACCAGACAGCACACACATGGTTTATAGACATGTATACAGATAGACAGACAGACACACAGGGTATATAGACCTATATACAACCAGACAGCATACACACGGTATATAGACATGTATATAGACAGACAGACAGACAGACACGACACACAGACATGACAGACACACACACACACACACACACACACACACGTATCAACCTTGTCTCTGAGGAGCACTGATGAAAACCACAGAATCCTAACTCAAAGCCTTCATGTCAGATTGCGTTTGAACCTTAATTCCTGTATCTTTAGTGGATTATGACAGGCTGAGTTAGCCCTACTCTGGATGAGCTGGAAGGGCCCCGCAACCTCCTCCTCTCCCCTTCCTGTCTTCCTCATGGATTAAGGAGTAAATGAACCATCGCAGCTAAGAGGGAGGTGACTTGGAGAAAACGTGGGTTTCCCTGAAACTGCAGGCCGTCTGTGGACGAGAAGCACAGCTGGGAGAGTGGGACCAGAGAGGCAGTTAGACTAGTCTTGGTCACTCTTGTTCCTGGAGCAGGAATCGTAGGAGAAAGAGACCCAGATGTCAGAGCCAAGCTCACACCCTTTTCTGAGCATTCCTTCTTCCTGTGGGGAGAGAACAGTTTTTACCACTTGGCCAAGGATCATCTCAGGTTCTTAGCAGAGAGCAGTGTATGAATAAGAAACACAATTATCCATTTCCATAGCTGCCCTCTGATGAACACTTAGGAAGCTTGCCTGGTGCTGTTGAGTTGACCCTGAGATGCCTTTTAGGGCCTGTCCACAGGCAGAAACATTTCCTGCCTCTCTCTCCCTAACTCCCACCCCCATTTTCTCTGAGAGATTCGCCTCAAGCCCAGAGCAGCCTCCCTCCTAGCAGCAAGAGCAGCTCAGGCGTGGCCATGTGTGCAAATGTCTGAGCACTCAGCTGCGATCCTGAGGAAGGACGGATGAACAGAGACATGAGCTTCCGTTACATGTATCTCCCTGCCCTACAGCCCACCTCCTTCGCTGCAGCCCTCCTGTGCTGGGAGAGGACCAACAAGATGCTATCTGGTCATCTCTTACTAGTCACTTTGGGTCTCCACCCCACTTCTCTCTTTCTTGTTCAGACAGGAAAAAACAAGGAGTCTCTGAAAATCGCAACAAAGGTAACCTTTCCACCCACTCATGTGCCATCTCTACCTGCCCACGCTCAGATCAGACCTTTCCAGGCCATCTGCCCCTGCCCTCTCCATGAGGTTACCTGCTGCTGTGGCCCAGTGCCTCATCCTGAGGACAGTGCAGATCCCGGGGCGGGCTCAAGGCAAACAGCAGCACCCTCTGCTGTTGACTTGAGGAAGCACATGTCCAGAATTCTTCGGGTGTGGGACTTGGATCTGCTCTTCCCAGAGCACTGAGCTCTGTTTCGCTGTCCATACTGGGAGGCAGTTTCTGGGTTGGAAGTCATGGTGGAGGACATTGGCTGGGCCGTCCCTGCACCCTCCTCTGCTAGCTGCCTCCTCGGTGTCTTCTGGTCCTTTATTCTCTGCTCATCTGCTCAGAGGCCTTGGAGAGAGACTTTTCTCTCTGCCTGTCTGCCCACTTCTTTCTTTGTTCTCGCCACAGTTGTTCTGTTCCTCCTGATATGGTTTGTGTTTCTCTTGGTGGCTGTGTCTACATCCCATCTCTGTCTTGTTTGTGCATCAGACAGGAGAGACTTATCTCGAGAGACTTCCTAAGCAAACAGTGACGTTGGAGGGATGTTGAGGACCAACAAGAAGTAGTCCTGAGACAGTTCCTAAGATTGTTTTTTCCTTGTTACACACATCATAGTACTCTTTAGAAGTAAAATCACTGTATCAGAGCACCAGGGCTTAAGCAGAAAGAGCTGGGATTTCAGGTCTCTGTTCTTCTTCTAAGGGGGAAATAAATGGTTTACTGTGTCTGTACGGCTCTGCTTTCCCTTTACTCCCTTTATGGTAGCTTTTCTCTCCGCTAGAATATTCAACTCAGGTCCTGCTGTGTTCCTACTTGCTTCCCTTGTCCTTCGACCTTATAATAAGTAGTTGCAGAATAACTTTGGTCTTGGGGAGAGGGTCTGTGTTTCTTCCCTGATCGGGGGAAAGAGGGCTTTAACAGAATAGGCTAGGACCCTTATGTTCTAGAAACATCTGCTAGATCCCCCCCTTTTGGCCCCTTTCTACAGTAAACATTCACTGTTTTAAACTCTGGATTCCAGATGGATGCTTGTGGTGATGGCCTTAGTGGTGTGATTAATCCCCTTGTTTCTGTTAACCTGGCATGTGACTCTGGGGGATGCCAGGAAGTTGTCATGAAGAGGAAATACAGGCTGAAAAGGCGTCCTCCACTTCATCTCCAGTTGTTAGATTTGTCCCAAAGACTCTCGTGGAGTCCTGCGTCTGGCACGAGTGAGAGACGGTCAGAACTGAGGTGGGGCCTAAGCAACATTCCAGGAAGAAGACAGAGGGCATCTCGCCTTCTGCCTGCCTGCCATTCGCTGCTACATCCTTGCCTGCTCACCTGTCCCCTTTGTGTGTCTACCCTAGCAAAGACCCAAGATGGAGCGGCCTTGGCAATCCAGCCACTCGACAGCCAGGAGGACATCGACATTGAGGAAAGGGAGAAGAAGAAAGTAAACAAGATGCCCAAGAAGGAGAAGTCAGTGCTGCAGGGCAAGCTCACACGGCTGGCTGTGCAGATCGGGAAGGCGGGTGAGTAGCTAAGCCTGCCTCCTATTTCAGATTCAAAGTGCTGCCCTGTGTGCCGGCTACTACAGTCCCCTTCCTGCCACACCAAGCAGGACTGACAGAAAGAAGCTGGAACTTCAGACTGGCTCCTGGGGTCTAGATAGCTGTTTCTTTGGCCACTCCTTGGGCTTTGGAAGAGAAATACTTCTTCCTGTATATAAAGCCCCAAGGTCTCTTTCATCCAGACATCAGGGGAGGGTCTTGCTAGCAAGAAGGAAATTAAGAACTCTCACCTGCCCTATAATCCCTCAAAGGCATTGGAGGCTGCAGCTTGCTGGAGGGAGTTCCCTCCATGGTGGTAGACTCCTGTGCCCCAGCATGGAGCAATAAATCCACTGTGAAGAGGGCAAGGAAGACCCGGTTAGAGAGACTCTACTCTGTTCAGAAGGGAGCTAGGGTGACAAGTGGTTTCTCCCTACACTTTCCTGTCATCTTCTACTGGCTGTGGGAAGCAGCAGGAAGGGGGACAAAAGGGTAACTCCTTTGTGCAGTGTCCCTCAAGTGTGATCCTCCACGAGCATTCAGGGACCTCAGGCTTCCTCTTACCTCTGTCAGACTCAGCATGCTTCTCTGGGCACAGTTCTCCAGGTATCCTTGCTAAAGTGCAGACTACCTTCAGGAAGTCTATGACAGGACCTGAGAGTCTGCAAGGATCTGTGCAAAACACCACAGCAGCCATGTCCACGGTCTGCTGCTGGGAAGCTGCATCTTTTTTTTAATTAATTAATTTATTTTAATTTTAATTTTAAACAGCTTGTTTTACATGTCAATCCCAGTTCCCTCTCCCTCCCCTCCTCCCGCACCCCCATTCCCCCCATCCTCCCACCCTATTGCCAATTCCTTCCGCATATCTAGAGTTTATCATTTCACTCAGGGTAGGGTCCAGGCACTTCCCTAAGAGTCCAGGCAGAGAGAGCAACCCTCTTTGTGTTATGGACACACGATGTCTGTTAGTATTCGAGGGATAAACACTGATCCACTGCTCAGGACCCCATAGGTAGCCCAGGTCTCCTCATTGACTCTCACATTCAGGGGGTCTGGATCGGTCCCATGCTGGCCTCTCAGCTGTCAGTCTGGGGTCCAAGAGCTCTCCCCTGTTCAGATCAGCTGTCTCTGCTGGTTTTGCCAGCCCATTCTTTGCCAATTTGCTGTTCGCTCCTCTTTCTCTGTCGCTGGGTTCCTTGGGTTCTGTTCAGTATTTAACTGTGGGTGTTTGCCTCTGCTTCCATCAGTCACTGGATGAAGGCTCCAGGATGGTTATAGACATCAAGTTCACTATCAGGAATGGGCATTTGAAGTGGTCTCTATTGCTTAGCTTGCCAATTGGTGTCATCCGTTTAGATCACTAGAGGTCACAATGGTGCCTGATCTGTCTTTTAACCTATGATTCCCTCTTCCCCCTATCCTATCCCCCCCTGTCAACCTTCCTGTTCCTCCACGACCTACTCTCTCTTCCACTTCTCTCCCTTTCTATTTCCCAGGTCCCCCTCCCACCCACCGCTCGCCGTGTTCCCCATCTGTTCAGAGGATCTTGCCTCATTTCTCTTCTCTTGGGTACCATGCATATCTTTTAGGTTCTTTCCTGTTTCCTGTTTCCCAGACTCTCTGTCAGTGGAAGTACAGACTGGCACTCTCCTGATCCATATATGAGTGAGTACATACCATGTTTGTCTTTTTGTGACTGGGTTACCTCACTCAGGATGGTTTCTTCCAGTGCTATCCATTTACCTGCGAATTTCAAGATTCCATTGTTTTTTTCTGCTAAGTAATACTCCATTGTGTAAATGTACCACATTTTCTCTATCCACTGTTCAGTTGAGGGGCATCTAGGTTGCTTCCAGGATCTATCTATTACAAATAATGCTGCTATGAAGATAGTGGAGCAGATGCCCTTGTTGTATGAATTTGCCTCCTTTGGATATATGCCTAAGAGTGGAATTGCTGAGTCTTGTGGTAGATTGATTCCCATTTTCCTGAGGAATCTCCATACTGCTTTCCAAAGTGGCTGTACAAGTTGGCACTCCCACCAGCAGTGGAGGAGTGTTCCCCTCTCTCCACATCCTCTCCAGCATAAATTGTCTTCGGGGTTTTTGATTTTAGCCATTCTGACAGGAGTAAGATGGTATCTCAAAGTTGTTTTGATTTGCATTTCCCTGATGGCTAAGGATGTTGAGCACTTTCTTAAGTGTCTCTTGGCCATTTTAACCTCCTCTATTGAGAATTCTCTGTTTAGTTCTGTACCCCACCTTTTAATTGGATCCTTTGGTGTTTTGGAGACTTACTTCTTGAGTTCTTTGTAAATTTTGGAGATTAGCCCTCTGTCAGATGTGGGGTCAGTGAATATCTTTTCCCATTTTGTGGACTGCCTTTCTGTCTTGTTGACTGTGTCCTTTGCCTTGCAGAAGCTTTTTAGTTTCATGAGGTCCCATTTGTTAATTATCGACCTCAGTGTCTGTGCCTCTGGTGTTATGTTCAGGAAGTGGTCTCCTGTACCAACTCGTTGAAGAGTATCTCTCACTGTCTCCTCTGAAAGTTTCAGTGTGGCTGGAACTATGAGATCTTTGATCCATTTGAACTTAAGTTTTGTACAAGGCGATAAACATGGATCTATCTGCAGTCTTCTGCATACCAGTGCCCAGTTATGCCAGCACCATTTGTTGAAGATGCTTTGTCAAAAATCAAGTGTTCATAGGTGTGTGGGTTAAAATCAGTGTTTTCAATTTGGTTCCATTGGTCTACCTGCCTTTTTTTGTGCCAATACCAAGCTGTTTTCAGAACTGTAGCTCTATAATAGAGCTTGAAGTCAGGTATGGTGATGCCTCCTGAAGTTTCTTTATTGTATAGGGTTGTTTTGGCTATCCTGGGCCTTTTGTTTTTCCATATAAAGTTGATTAATGTTCTTTCCAGGTCTGTGAAGAATTGTGCCGGAATTTTGATAGGGATTGCATTGAATCTGTAGACTGCTTTTGGCAAGATTGACATTTTTATTATGTTGATCCTACCAATCCAAGAGCATGGGAGATCTTTCCATTTTCTGGTATCCTCTTTGATTTCTTTCTTTAAAGACTCAAAGTTCTTGATATACAGGCCTTTAACTTCCTTGGTTAACATTATCCCCAGATATTTGATGCTGTTTATGGCTATTGTAAAGGGTGAGGTTTCTCTGATTTCTTTCTCAATCACTTCGTCTGTATATAATAGGGCCACTGATTTTTTTTGCGTTTACCTTGTATCCTGCCACTTTGCTGAAGGTGTTTATCAGCTCTAAGAGTTCCCTTGCGGAGTTTTTCAGGTCACTTATGTAAACTATCATATCATCTGCAAATAGTGAAAGTTTGACTTCTTCTTTTCCTATTTGTATCCCCTTGATCTCCTTTTGTTGTCTTATTGCTGTAGCTAGGACTTCAAGTACAATATTGAAGAGATATGGAGAGAGTGGACAGCCTTGTCTTGTTCCTGATTTTGAGTTTTTCTCCATTTATTTTGATGTTAGCTGTTGGTTTACTGTATATTGCCTTTATTATATTCAGGTATGTTCCTGTTATCCCTGATCTCTCTAGGACCTTTATCATGAAGGGTGCTGGATTTTGTCAAAGGCTTTTTCAGCATTTAGTGAGATGATCATGTGGTTTTTCTTTTGCAGTTTGTTTATATGGTGGATTACATTGATAGATTTTCTAATGTTGAACCATCCCTGCATTCCTGGGATGAAGCCTACTTGATCATGGTGGATGATTTTTCTGATGTGTTCTTGAATCCGGTTTGCTAGTAATTTTGCATCGATGTTCATGAGGGAAATTGGTTTTATTTCTTAGTTGTGTCTTTGTGTGGCTTGGGTATCAAGGTAATTGTAGCCTCGTAAAAAGAATTTGGCGGTGAGTCTCCTGCTTCCATTGTGTGGAATACTTTAATGAGTACTGGAGTTAACTCTTCTTTGAATTTCTGGTAGAATTCTGCACTGAAGCCATCTGGGCCTGGGCTTTTTTTGTTTGGGAGACTTTTGATGACTGCTTGTATTTCATTAAGGGTTATAGGTCTGTTTAGATTGTTTATCTGCTCTTGATTTAGTTTTGGCAAGTGATATCTATCCAGGAAATTGTCCATTTCCTTTAAATTTTCAAATTTTGTGGAGTACAGATTTTCAAAGTATGCCCTGATGATTCTCTTGATTTCCTCAGAGTCCGTTGTTATGTCCCCTTTTTCATTTCTGATTTTGTTAATTAGCATGCTCTCTCTCTGTCTTTTGGTTAGTTTGGACAGAGGTTTTTCTATTTTGTTGATTTTCTCAAAGAACCAACTCTTTGTTTCATTGATTCTTCTCAATGTTCTCCTGGTTTCTACTGGATTGATTTCAGCCCTCAATTTGATTATTTCCTGGCGTCTGCTCCTCTTGGGTGAGTTTGCTTCTTTTTGTTCTAGAACATTCAGCTGTGCTATTAATTCTCTAGTATGACTGTTCTCCCGTTTCTTCATGTGGGCACTTAGTGCTATGAACTTTCCTCTCAGCACTGCTTTCAAAGTGCCCCATAGGTTTGCGTATGTTGTGTCTTCATCCTCATTGAATTCCAGGAAGTCTTTAATTTCTTTTTTTATTTCTTCCTTTACCCGGGGATGGTGCAATTGTGCATTGTTCAATCTCCATGAGTTTTTAGGGTTTCTGCGAATTGTGTTATTGTTGAATTCTAATTTTAATGCATGGTGGTCTGAGAAGATACAGGGGGTTATTCCAATTTTTTTGTATCTGTGGAGATTTGCTATGTTTCCTATTATGTGGTCAATTTTAGAGAAGGTTCCATGTGGCGCCGAGAAGAAGGTATATTCCTTTGTGTTTGGGTGGAATGTTCTATAGATGTCTGTTAAACCCAGTTGTGTCATAACTTCTATTAGTTCTTTTGTTTCTTTGTTAAGTTTCTGTCCGGAGGGCCTGTCTAGTGGTGAGAGAGGAATGTTGAAGTCTCCTACTATTAGTGTGTGCGATTTTATGTGCAATTTGAGCTTTAGTAATGTTTCTTTCACAAATGTAGGTGCCTTTGTATTTGGGGCGTAGATGTTTAAAATTGAGACTTCATCTTGATGTACTTTTCCTTTGATGACTATGAAATGTCCTTCTTCATCTCTTTTGATTGATTTTAATTTGTTAGATATTAGGATTGCTATACCCGCTTGTTTCTTGGGTCCGTTTGATTGGAAATTCTTTTCCCAACCCTTTACCCTGAGATACCGTTTGTCTTTGATGTTGAGATGTGTTTCTTGCATGCAGCAGAAGGATGGGTTCTGTCTTCGTATCAATTCTGCTAGTCTGTGTCTTTTTATAGGCAAGTTGAGGCCGTTGACGTTGAGGGATATTAATGACCATTGATTGATGATTCTTGTTTGTGCTTGATTTATTGGTAGTGAAGTTATTTTGTGTAGTTTCTCCTCCCTTTTTCTTTTGGTGTTATGTAAAGTGGGATTATATATTATAGCCTGTGTCTTTGTGAGTGTAGTTATCCTCCTTGGATCTAAGTTTTCCTTCTAGCACTTTCTGTAGAGCTGGATTCATGGACACATATTGTTTAAATCTGGCATTGGCATGGAATATTTTGTTTTTTCTCCATCTATGGTAATTGAAAGCTTTGGTGGATATTGTAGTCTGGGCTGGCATTCTTGTTCCCTTAGCGTTTGTAGGACATCTGTCCAGGATCTTCTGGCTTTCATCGTTTCCATTGAGAAGTCAGGTGTAATTCGGATAGGTCTGCCTTTATATGTTACTTGGCCTTTTTCTTTAGCTGCTCTTAATATTTTCTCTTTATTCTGTAGGTTTGATGTTTTGATTATTATATGGCGAGGTGACTTCTTTTTCTGGACCAGCCTATTTGGTGTTCTGTAAGATTCTTGTATTTTCATAGGCATATCCTTCTTTAGGTTAGGGAAGTTTTCTTCTATGATTTTGTTGAATATTTTTTCTGTACCTTTGAGCTGTATTTCTTCGCCTTCTTCTATACCTATTATTCTCAGGTTTGGCTTCTTCACGGTGTCCCATATTTCCTGGATATTTTGTGTTAAGGATTTGTTGGTCTTGAGATTTTCTTTGGTTGACGACTTTATATCCTCTAATGAGTCTTCAACACCTGAGATTCTCTCTTCTATCTCTTGTATTCTATTGGTGATACTTGCATCTGTAGTTCCTGATCATTTACCCAGCTTTTCTATTTCCAGCATCCCCTCGTTCTGTGTTTTCTTTATCGTTTCTATTTCAGCTTTCAATCCTTCAACTGTTTGAGTTGTTCCTTAATTTTTTTGGTTGTTTTCTTCGTGGTACTCTTTATATTCTTTGAGAGATTTGTTTATTTCTTCAATTTTCCCCCATTTCATGGATTTTTTTGTTTGTTTTTTCCTCTATTTCTTTAAGAGTCTCTATCATCTTCATAAAATGATTTTTAAGGTCTGTCTCCTCTGTTTCATCTATGTAGTGCTTTTCAGGTCTTGCTGGCATTGGTTCCCTAGATTCTCGTGGAGTCATGCTGGTCTTTTGACTGCTGAGTGAGCTTATTCTGTCTTTTTCCCATTTCTTCTTCCAGTGGGTGCTGGTGGGGTCTTTCCTTCTCCACTGGTCTCCTTCCTTCCTGAAGCTGACTAGGATCGCCGGAGTTTGGGGCATGGAAGGGCTGATGTCTTTCCTGTGTGGGTGGGTCTTCTGGATGCCAGGAGCAGCCCGGGAAGATTGAGGGGATGAGGGTTGGGCGGAAGATGGGGAGTGTTCCCCCAGAGACCCAAACTCACCTAGCTGGGATCACCCGGGAAGCTGCATCTTAAATATTCACTAGCCACATGTGTCCAGTAGCTGTCTTACTGAACATTGCCAAGTGAGAGCACTTCAAAAAGTTCTGGTGGGAGTGTCCTAACCTAGCCAGTTCCTTTCAGTCCAGTGCTTAGCTCATTCTGGCTACCTTGAAATCTTCTGAGCTGTGGGTGCAAAAACCAGTTGTTGAGCCCTGTACCAAGGTCAGACACATTAACTAGATTCTGTAACCCAAGTGTTTTCCTCATCCCTGCCTCATTCTTCCTTGGGGGCAGGGGGGTAAGAACTACCTAGAGATTGGTCTCCTCTCCTCTGTTTCACATGTCAAGCTAGGTCAGGACTTGGGTGAAATGAGCAAAATCCCTTCCAAACAAGAGAGAGAGACAGACAGAGAGAGAGACAGAGAGAGAGAGAGAGAGAGAGAGAGAGAGAGAGAGAGAGGGAAGGAGGGAGGGAGCATCCTTAAATTTTGTACCTTGCTTCTTTATTCTGGTCCTTGCCTTGATCAAACCAAAGTCAAACTAAAACTAATCTGCTTTCACTGATGTCATCCCCCATGGCCTTGCTACGAGGCCCCTGAAGCATCATGGCCAGACTGTAATTTCAGCAAGAGTGTTTCCCAATGAGCACATATTGATCCTTAACCCTCAGGATAGCCATGATCCCCATATGTAAAGTAAACAGCTATCCCAATTGGTTGAAACTTTCCCAGTTTTCTCTCTGAAAGTCCCAGAAATTGTTGAATCTCAGGCAAGTCAGACTGGCCACATTACCTGTACCAGAAGGTTTGCTGACCCCTGGCTTTCCCTTCTTTGGAACAGGAGTAATAATAGTAATCGGTGTCCTAGGGCTGTTGTAAAGTGGTTATGAAGGCCTGGCTGGCCTATAGCAGGCACTGTGTAAGTTGTTGCTGTCCTTGTCATCTTCATGATGTGCTAGGATAGGAGAAATCATGCCAGCACTTTGGGGACATCCTGTAACCAGGGTGTGGGGCATTCACAGAGCAGTGGAGGGAACGTCAAAGTTGGTAAACTCCTAAGTGGACAGATGCCCTTGCTACTAGGTAAGCTATGACATGCAGTCACGACTGCCTCGTTAATACAACAGAAGTTCTAATAAAACAGCGGCAGCAGTCCACACATGGAGCTGACCCCCACCCTCCTTAGAAGTTGCAGTTTATTAGGAGAAAGGGCCTCAAGGAAGCCCGTATTCTAAAATACTTCCCTTTATGGTTTGGTTTGGTTTTTGTAGATCAGATTGGCCTGACCTCATGATCTTCCTACCCCGACCTCTCAAGTGCTAAAAGTAAGGCGTGCGCCACCATACCCAGCAACCCTCGTATTTGTGAATGAAGTATTTAAAGTAGGAACTCAACTCATAGAGACTTAACAACTAATCCAAGGGTTTGAGGGTTGGCAGCATGCTGAGAACAACATCTATAGCCTTGGAACCACTGTTTTTAGAGCCTTTGTTTTGTTAAAACACGCACATAGACGCACACACCATCACAACTACAAAAACTACAACCTCTGTCGTGTGTACAAGCAACAGAGAATGGGGGAAAGGTTTTAATATAACTTTCTAAAGCTTATCGTTTTAAAAACTATGGAAAGCACCAGCTGCAGCACTCAGAGTGGCCCTACACCCTGCCTAGACAACACAGCACAGCTGGCCCGAAGGTGTAGGTGTGGGAGAGCTGACCCTCAGGGTGTGAGAGGGAGAACTGGCCCCGCCCCTTGCTCATGCTGTAAGGGGTGAAGTAGCCAGAGCAATGCAGGAGGGCTCACCCTGATGGTGAGGACAAGGGAGAGCTGGCAGCTGACCAACCCTGCAACTACCCAGGCCCAGAGCCGGGCTTATGTGTTGGCCACCCCAGCATCCATCCCTTCTGTGATCTACCGGAGCACAGGTGAGGGAGGGGGTTGGTCCTGTGGACCCAGGGCTGCAGGATCTCCACGACACAAGCCAGCAACAGTACATCCAGGAAGAATCTCAGTGAGGGCCCAGTGTGGATGGTGTAGCAGGGACCTCAAATCAGACCAATGATTCTTTTCAATAAATTCCTACATATAAAAATATATGGATAAAGGGGTTTACAGTGTGACTCGCTATGTCGCACTGCAACTTCCATGATGAGATTTTTTCCCTTTCTCCCTTTTTTTTCTTAAATTTTATTTGGAGAAGGGGTAGGGGATGGGTGGGATCAGGAGGCATGATGTGAAAGGCATAAAAACAGAAATAAAAAGAAAATTAAAAAAACTACAGAAAGGGTATAGCAAGCTAACCCCTGTGCGTGTGCCTTGCTGCCCTGGACAGGTCTGATCATGTCTGCCCTCACAGTGGTCATCTTGATTCTCTACTTTGTGGTTGACAATTTCGTGGTACAGCGCAGAGCATGGCTACCTGAGTGCACTCCCGTCTACATCCAGTATTTTGTCAAGTTCTTCATCATCGGCGTCACTGTATTGGTAGTGGCTGTGCCAGAGGGGCTGCCACTGGCTGTCACCATCTCACTGGCCTACTCTGTGAAGGTAAGATAGGAAAAATACTGTGTGTTACTTAAGGACAGAGATGCAAAGGGAGGGTTCCACAAGCTCTTCTGTCCTTTATACCCCTAGGGTGGTCCCCCAAGAGCACTGGTGCCTGGCTCTAGGAAATGACCACTCAGTTAGTTGTTTAAACAGATCAGTAGAATCTTAAAGCCCACAAAAACAGTACCCTGTATTTTTGTGCAGACTAGAAAACAAAGTGAGAAATGTTGGCTAGGACTTAGCCTCTGGTCTATGTTTTGGGAAGTTCTGTTGGTTCTCTTTCAACTCCTTTCCTTTCTTTTTGTAGAAAATGATGAAGGACAACAACTTGGTACGGCACTTGGATGCTTGTGAGACAATGGGCAACGCCACAGCCATTTGCTCTGATAAGACAGGAACACTGACTATGAACCGCATGACAGTGGTACAAGCTTATGTTGGGAACACTCATTACCGCCAGATCCCAAGCCCTGATGTCTTCCCGCCCAAGGTTCTGGACCTCATAGTCAATGGCATTTCTATTAACAGTGCTTATACTTCTAAGATTCTGGTAAGCTTTCCCATTGCCTGGGGACCTGGAATAGGTGACTGGGAGAAATATTCATTTTGCCAGAGAGAACTCTCTGTCCTGGTTACTTTTCTATGTCTGTGCTAGACTCCATGACCAAGGCGACTTATAGAAGAATTTATTAGGAGCTTATAGTTTCAAAGGGTTAGAGCCCATGACTGTCATGGCAGGAAACATGGGGGCAGGCAGGCAGGCATAGTGTGGGAACAGTAGCTGAGAGCCCACATCTCCGTCCACAAGCAGGAGGCAGGGAGCACACTGGGGATGACATCAGGTTTTGAAACCCCCTAATGACACACCGCCTCCTCGTAATCCTTCCCAAGTAGTTCTGCCAACTGGGACCCAATATCCAAATCTATGAGCTTCTGGGGGCCAATTTCACTCAAACCACCACATCCTCCATTATCACCCCATCTAAATTGCCATTCCACATTCTGTGCTCAGGGTGACTCTGAGAAGAAACCTCATGCCTACAGCAGACTTACACATATCCAGAATTTATTACTCACTTTCCAGAAACAGAGAGCATTTGATTAAGACTTCCAGAGGGCTGGGTGGTGATGGCACACATCTTTAATCCTAGCACTCAGGAGGCAGAGGCAGGCAGATCTCTGAGTTTGAGGCCAGCCTGGTCTACAAAGTGACTTCCAGGACAGTCAGAACTGTTGCACAAAAAGGGGAAGGAGGGCTGGAGAGATGGCTCAGTGGTTAAGAGCACTGGCTGCTCTCCCAGAAATCCTGAGTTTGGTTCCCAGCAACCACATGGTGGCTCACAACTATCCCTAATGAGATCTGGCACCTTCTGGCCTGCAGGCAGAACACGGTATTCATAATAAACAAACAAACAAACAAATAAATCTTTAAAAGAAAAACTCACAGAGGATGAGACAACTCATTACCATAAATGTAATGTAAGATCCCGAGGCCCATAAGGCCATCAGTCAAGGTCACAAAAGCATTGCTGTGGCCCCGTGGGCATTGAGATGCCTCCAGATTTGCCTGCCCAACTCCTCTCTCTAGTTCAGATATCTCACTCATTAGTTCCATGTCTGCTTTTGTTTCTGTTTTCCTTTTCTCTCTCAGCCTCCAGAAAAAGAGGGAGGCCTACCCCGGCAGGTAGGCAACAAGACAGAGTGTGCCCTGCTGGGCTTTGTCACAGATCTGAAGCAGGATTACCAAGCAGTTCGCAACGAAATACCCGAGGAGACACTCTTCAAAGTGTACACCTTCAACTCAGTGCGCAAGTCCATGAGCACCGTCATCAGGAAGCCGGAAGGGGGCTTCCGCATGTTCAGCAAAGGCGCCTCTGAGATAATGCTGCGCAAGTGAGCTCCCTTCCTCCCATTTCCCCCTTTGAGGTCCCCCTCAGGAAAGTCTGAGGGCCCATGCCGAGGACAGGCATTGCTTTTAAGAACCTTGCTGGTTCCTTTTATTTAATTCTTGAAACTCAGCAAGGTAGGTACTCTTTTGACCCATTTTGCAGATGAGAAAATCTGCGCAGTGAATTTGTGTAATTTGCTTATAGAGAGAGTAACTAACTGCCAGAGCCAGGATTCAGTCTGGAGCAGCCCAGACTTCCCAGAAAGCTCCCCATCTGACTGTGCTAGAGGGAGTCGGTGAGCATAAGATGCCTTGCACATACCAAGAGCTAACCATGCTGCTCCTCTGATCCCTCTCTTCCTCATTCTCAATACCTTCAAAAGTAGCTAAGCTACCTACAGGTTGTTACAGTCAACCCAACAAGTACATTGCCAGCAGGGCACTTGGGAGGCTAAGACAGGAGGGTTATAAGTTCAGGATCATTCTGGTGTACTTTGTCTCAAAAAAACAAAACAATAACAGCAACCAAAAGAAGCTGGGCATAGTTTTACCTTCCTTTAATCCCAACACTCAGGAGGCAGAGACAGGAGTTTGAGGCCAGCCTGTTCTGCATAGCAAGTTCCAGTAAAACCAGGATGAGAGATTTGTCCAGAAGTTCAAGGTCAACCTATAAAGCAAGTTTGAGGCTACATATAGCCTGAGCTACATGAGACTCTTACTCGTGTAGGAGGTAGAAGGTGGGGGAGAGGGAAAGAGAGACTCAGCTAGGCGACACATAAAAGACGTATTAAGCATGGACTAGTGTCTGTAGTAATAATACAGGATCTCCATAATGCCTGTGATTATTGGAACGTGTCATGTGGGATGGCACAGTGATTTCTGACTATGCATCTTACCAGGTGTAATCGAATCCTGGACAAGGAAGGAGAAACCATACCATTCAAAAGTGAGGACCGAGATGACATGGTGCGTAACGTCATTGAGCCCATGGCCAGTGAAGGACTCCGGACTATCTGCATAGCTTACCGGGATTTTGATGACACAGAGCCCATGTGGGACAATGAGAATGAAATCCTCACTGAGCTGACCTGCATTATGGTGGTGGGCATTGAGGACCCTGTGCGCCCAGAGGTGAGGCTTGTCAGCTTCGAAACTGAAGAGAAGGGGCAAGGACGCAGGGCACTGGTCTCCCATTGGCCACTGGGTAGGGTACATATCCAGTGTAACCTACGGAGCCACCTGGGAGTCACAGAGAGCCAGTGCAAGTTTCTGGCCTGGCTGTGACCCTAACATGTTGCCTAACTGTGTGTCACTTACAAAGACAAACGAGTCTCCAAAACCTGCTTCCCACCTCAGCTGTGGAGAGCTAGGTAGGGAGAAGGCAGCATCCCTAGGGTTCATGCTATATGAGGGACAGGCAGTGATGATTTCATGGATTTGTTACTTGGTGCTTGGGAATGGTCAGGAGCAGAATTAACCAGAAGGCAACTTAACTCTTTAGCCACCTTCTTTCAATGACGTACTCTTCAGCAATCTCAGTGTGCCAAACGCTGTTCGAGGCACGAGGAGATTCAAAAAACGGAAAGACTCAGATACACAGACCAGTGCTTGTCAAGGCCAAGATGGGGAGAGTATCCCGCCACAAGCGAGCTCGTGGGTTGGACCCTGGACCGGGTGGCCACATCACCGGATGCAGCCTCAGCTTCCGCAGGGAACCTGAAGGAAAGGGAGACACAAGCATTCACATCTGGCTCCCCAAGCAAATTCCCCTTCAGCCTGTGAGATCATGAGTGAAGATTCATCCCCATCGTGGGTTAGACAGAAGCAAGAGGGCACTGGGTGCTGTATAAACATGACCAGACATCGCGTCAGTCCTATTTTTAAGTGAGGGAGCTGCAGCAGGGCAGTCTGCTGTGTATCATCAATCTCATGACTACTTGTCTTCTTCCTTCACTCTACTCAGGTACCCGATGCAATTAGGAAATGCAAACGGGCTGGCATTACTGTCAGAATGGTGACAGGTGATAATGTCAACACAGCACGGGCCATTGCCACCAAATGTGGCATTCTGACCCCTGGAGATAATTTATTGTGCTTAGAAGGAAAAGAATTCAACAGGCTTATCCGCAACGAGAAGGGCGCGGTATGTCCACAGAGGAAGCAGCCAGGGGACCACTTACCAGGGAATGGCTGGTTCTCGTGTGCAGTAGTAGGGCTCGTGGGAGCGAGTGGGGGCTTCTAAACTGGAGTCTGTTCGCGGTGAGACAGCGCTTCCCACCACAGCTGCTCTCGTGGTGAATGAGGACCTGTCTCATCTTCATTCAGCTGCCTGTGGGTTCAGAGTCACTAACTTCACTGTCCTTGTGCTTTTAAACGCATGCAATGGTTTTTGTGCTGCTCCCCTCCCCCATCCCACCCTTCCACAATCACTGCCCTGTGGCTGTGGGTGTCACAGGCTGGTCGCAGTATGATATGGGATGGACTAAAGCTTCCAAGTCTACGTGGAAATCAGACCTAAGACCCCAGAAGCTCCTTGGAAGCCCCTGAGCCAGCTGTTAACCCTGACCTCCTCCTATTTTGGGTTAAGAAATAAGGACTGGCTCCCAGATAGAAAGTTGTGATGGAAAAGAAAAAAGGGTCTGCATGGTCACCATCAGTGAAGCCATATTGTCTATTCCATCTCCCCAGAGGCCAGGGACTAAGGGTTCCTCTGGGGCTGTGAAGTTCTAGCACTCTTGGAAACGAGTAAGATTTCACCAAACAGTGGCCCTGAGTTTGACTGATTTGGGTGCCTCTGGTATTGGCAGGTTGAACAAGAAAAGCTGGACAAGGTCTGGCCCAAGCTTCGGGTGCTGGCACGATCTTCTCCCACGGACAAGCACACACTGGTGAAAGGTGAGGCCAGCCTGTGAGTATGCACCTGCCATGGTTGAGGGCAGGCTAGGGTAAAGACAGATAAGGAGGCATCCTTGGCCACGCTGAGTATATGGCCAATAGCAGAAAGCTTGCTTAGTGTGCACAAGGCCCTGAGTTCAATTCCCAACACTGCTCCTATCCCCCTAACAAAAGAACAGAAAAGGCATACCCATTGCAAAGTTAGGCCTGGAGATATACACTTGTAATCCTAGAATTTAGGAGGTAAAGACAGGAGGATCCAAAGTTCAAGGTCATTTTTGGCTGCATAGTGAGTTTGAAGTCAGCCTGAACTGTGTAGGACCTTGTCTCAAACAAAAAGACATTAGCCAAACTACTCTCCTGTCCCCAGCAAGGAAGTCCTCGGAGAGGTCCTAGGCTAATGGGGAAGACACTGAATTTAGCAAACATCTGACCCCTGGCAAGTGTGTGATATAATAGAGTTGAGATTTTTGTTTTGGGGTTTTAGTGGAGTTTGGGGGGATTCTTTGTTGTTGTCTGAACCAAAATGCCTCATTTATTTATTATTTTGTTTGTTTTTTTTTAGAGAGTTTCTCTGTGTAGCCACTGGAACTCACTTCGTAGACCAGGCTGGCCTTGAATTCAGTCCCAAGTGCTGGGACTAAAGGCATGTGTCACCATGACTGGTTTTAGAATAGTTGACTTTTTTTTTGAATATGTGACTTTTAAAGGAACTTGCCAAGAGGTTCTGATACTCATGGCCTCACATATGAAGAGCAGAGCACTGAGCACACTCTGTTTCCTGTGATTCACACAGGCAAACAACATGACCACAGAGCTCTTTTCTTCTCTGGGTGAGGTACTTTGTGATTTCCCCAACAGCCACCATTTGGGGAGGGGTGGGGGTAGTTGTTGAGACAGGTTTTCATGTAACCCAGATTGGCCTCAAATTCCCTCTATAGCTGAAGATGACCCTGAACTCCTAATCCTTCTGCCTTTGCTTCCCAAGTACCGGGGTTAAGGGGTAGGCTATCACAGCTGTCTAGAGCTGGGGTGGGGGTGTTAGTCCCTAGCTAGGCTGCAGTGGTACACTTGAACCCAGATGTCTGCCTTCAAAGCCACTGCATGCTTTCCCAGCTACCTAGCGGCTGTGTAAGGCCAGAGTGACCTTGGTGAATCATTGCCCTTGGGTGGTTGCTGTAGATCCCACAGTAGAGAGGACAAAGGAAGGAGAACGAACAGAGACAGAATGGAGGAGATGGGGGAGACTAAAGTGTCCCTTTCATAGGAAACGGTACTTGCCACATGATCTCTGTCTTAGGGTTTTTAGTGCTGTGAAGAGACACCGTGACCACGTCAACTCTTACAAAGGAAAACATTTAATTATGGTGGCTTACAGTTCAGAGGTTCAGTCCATTATCTCTATAGTGGGACATGGTGGCAGGCAGGCAGAGTGGTGCTGGAGAGGCAGCTGAGAGTCCTACATCTTGCAGGGAACTGGAAGTGGTCTCTGATGCTGGGGGCAGCTTGAGCACAGGAGACCTCAAAGCCCTCCCCCACAATGACACACTTCCTCCAACAAGGCCACACCTCCTCATGGTGCCTCTACTTTTGGGGCCATTTTCTTTAAACCACCACATCCTCAGATGGTGCCTGTGAGTTCACTGTTGTGTGTCTTTTCCCCAGGTATCATTGACAGCACTGTTGGCGAACAGTGGCAGGTGGTGGCTGTCACCGGCGATGGGACAAATGATGGACCTGCTCTAAAGAAAGCAGATGTTGGTTTTGCCATGGTAAGCTCCCCAGGGTCTCCCCGTGGGTCACCTTGTCTGTCAGGGGCCAGCACAGGCTTCTGTCCCTGTGCCTTCTCATCCCACCGGCCTGGTCATTACTGTGTGTGAAAACAGTGGTGTCTGTCGGGGAAATCACAAAGCACCTCGTCCAGGAAAACAAGAGCTGTGGTCATGCTGTTTGCCTGTGTGAATCACAGGAAACTCGGCTTCCACATAGGGCGTGGCCGTTACCATGCTCTTACATGTGAGGCCATGAGTATCAGAACCTGTGGCAAGTTCCTTGACAAGTCACACATCCCAGAGGGGCATCTTGCTTCAGTAAGGTTGGGTGGGTGCTCAGGTGTGTGGGGGTTGGGTTTGGTTAGAGGTTTTGGTGGTGGTGATGGAGTTTTGATGGTCGCTGCAAGCACAGCTGTTAATTGAGATGTGCAGGGAGGCTTGGAAGTCCCCAGAGTACCAAGTGTATCCTCACATCAAGGGAGTTTATTGCTCTCAGACCCCCATCCAAACAGGAAGATGCACGTGTGTGTGTGTGTGTGTGTGTGTGTGTGTGTGTGTACATGTACGTGAGCGCATGCACACGCGCCAGTGTCGTATTAGCCAGGTTTGGAGATGCATCTCTACAATCTCAACATTTAGGGGGGTTGAGCTTCCATGGATGCTCTGAATCCACAGCAGTGGCTCTTAAAGTGGGTCCTATGTGGGCCCAGAGAGACAGTTCAGTGGCCAAGAGCACTGTCTGCTCTAACAGGATGAAGGTTCAATTCCCAGTACGCACAAAGCAGTTCACAACATCTGTAACTCCAGTCCCAGGGGATCTGACTCCCTCTCTGGCAGGCAAAACACCCAAACACATAAAATGAATTAAAACAAAAAAATGTATCCATTTCCAATGCACCAGCAGTTACCTGGAAACCTATGGAAATGCAAACTCTCAGAAACCACTGGAGTCTACTGAACCACACGGTCTGGAGTCAGGTCTTCTAATATGCCCTAATGTTTGAGAACCACTAATTTTATAGCCTGTGTCCCAATGACTGCCCTTGCACTCGCAAATTTATTAGGACTTATGGAACCTGACCCATGTACTCTGTGTGCACATGGCTAGTATTTGCTACAGACGGATGCTGAGGATACAGTTAGATCACAAGAGAAAGATGCTGGCAGAATGCAGAGGAATCCACATGCAGCCTTCTCGTGCCCTCCCTGCCAAAAGGGGAGTCCTTTCTTCCATTTTTGCAACACTTCGGCAGCGTGTATGATGCCTCCGACAGGGAAACCCATCACACTCAGCTCCCACAGCTTTCATTCCTAACACATATCAAAATCCCAGACTCCTAAAGGGAAGTGGAAGCCAGATTATTTCAGCTGTCTGCCAGGTATGTCCAACCTGCAGTCAGTGGCTACATGCAGCCAAGGATAGCAATGAATGAGGCCCAGCAGAAAACTGTAAAACATGCCCACATCCATGTTTGGGGCGCTGGGTGGGGGCGGTGATGGTCGTCGTTTGTTGTTGTAACTCCATCGCACCCTTTTTACATGTGAACTTCATAGATGACAGTGTTGTCACATGTCAAAAGGTTGGACACACCCACTGTGTGTGAGTGAGCTGCCTTGTCTCAGTTAAGTGCTGACCAGAGAGTTCTGAGAGTCAAGTTCCCAGGAGCCAGCCCCCGTGCTGAGGCTCTGCCCATCCTTTCCGACCTTTGCTCTAGCTGTTTTATGTTGAAGGAATGTGGTTTATTGTCTGCACAGGCGGTTCCAGTAGCGAATGTGCTCACTGTATTTCTGTAGTTTCCTGCAGCAGTGATAGTGTTTGCTCCCTTGCTTCTGACTTGAGTGGGTTTTGTGGTTTTAGTGTGTGTGTGTGTGTGTGTGTGTGTGTGTGTGCTGTGTCTGTGTCTGTGAACCCACTAACGTATGAGTGTGGTGGAGGTCAGAGAACAATTTTTGAAAGTGTTTTTTTTCCACTATGGGATCCTAGGGATCTTAGGATCAAACTCAAGTCATCAGATCTGCATGCATGACAAGTGCTTCTTGTGACATGGGGTCCTACTATGTACCCTGATTGACCTGGGACTGGCTACATAGAACTGCCTCTGTCTCAGTTCTGGGGTAAGGTGTCCTGCCCCACCACATCTGGTTTAGTGTTTGGCTTTCTGTTTGTTTTTCTGCCTCATTTGGGTTTTGAGATATGCCCTGGCCTTCCCCTCAGTCTGTAGCCCAGGCTATCCTCATGTTTAAAGCAGTCCTCCTGCCTCAGCCTCCTGAGGGTTGGAGTCACAAGTATATACCACTATGCCTGCTTTGTCCCTTGTATTTTCTGTACATTAGTTCCAGAAGCAACCAGATCCTATGTCTCCTTGGGGATTGTGAAATGACAGTATGCTGATTTTTTATTACTAACTTGGATTGTTACACAAACTGAGATTCCCCTCACCTCTGTTTATACTCAGTGACGCAGTCCCCACATGAAAAGCAGATTAAATGCTTGAGTGTTTTTCTTTCCTGCCCAGTGACTTGTTTTATTTTTTTAAGTAGTGTTACAAACACATGATTTTCCTCCCTCCCCCATCCTTGGATTAAACCTATGGCCTCAAGCATATCAGACAAATGCTCTACCACTGAGGTACACCTCAGCCCAAACAAGGGAATTTGATACACATGCATGCATGCATGCATACATACATGCATAAATACATACATACATACATACATACGAATGAACGATGTGTTTCCATGCATTGCTCTTGCTTTTGTCTTGAAGCTCAGATGGATTCATCATTAGCCTGGAGAAGTCTCTTCAGTGTCTCTGGGTCCTTTCAATGTAGCCAACCCCAGGTGCCTTGTATTGCTTTCTTGGTTTCTTGCCCAATAAGACACTGCAGAGGGATTGGGAGTTCTCATTTATTAGTTTTGTTTCTTTGTGTGTGTGTGTGTGTGTGTGTGTGTGTGTGTGTGTGTGTGTGTGTGTGTTACATTTTGTTTTTCAAGACAGGGTTTCTCTGTAGCTTTGGAGCCTGTCTGGAACTCACTCCATAGACCAGGCTGGTCTCACTCACAGAGATCCACCTGCCTCTGCCTCCCGAGCACTGGCATTACAGGCGTGCGCCACCTCTGGCCTTCTGAACCTATTCTTATCTCGGCTCTGGCATCCTGCATGCCTTCAGTGTGCTCTGCTGCATTTTATTGACAGGCCATATTAGGGAGCACAAGTGGTTCTTCAGGTGCATCTTCCCTCTGAGCACACACTGTTTCTGTAGCCAAGCTAACATGTGAGCCTTCACAGCCTAGATTTGTTTCTATACCTGCTTCTAAGATTAAATACTTCCTAAGTTGGTGTTCATGTTGCTCACTCAAATTTAAAGTGCTAACCTCCTGTTTATTTCTTATTCTCTATTTGTTCCTAGCTTCCCTAATTTTATATTTGTAGCTCTTAAGATAAAAACTTTTTAATGCTATTGACATAATTATTGACTTTCCCTAAAAGCATATGTGCTGGTTATAAAATAACAATAAAAATAATTACTAAAATATTCTTATATTTTTGGTTGTGAGCCTAGCCTTTAATGGCTGAGCTATCTCTCCAGCCCCTAAAATATTCTTTCATTATTTTTTGTTTTGTTTTTGGGGACAGGGTTTCTCTTGTAGCCCTGGCTGTCCTGGAACTCACTCTGTAGACCAGGCTGGCCTTGAACTCACAGAGATTTACCTGCCTCTGCCTCCCGAATGCTGGGATTAAAGGTGTGCCCTGCCATTGCCTGCTTTGGCCCCTATATTTTAGTTAAAAATTAAATGATTTCATTTTATATGCATGAGTGTCTCACCTGCATGTATGTCTGTGCACTGAGCATATGTGTGGTGCCTCTACAGACTGGAGAGAGCATCAGATCCCCTGGAAGTAGAGTGACAGACAGTTGTGAGTCACTGTGTGGGTGCTGGGAATAGAACTTTGGTCCTTTGGAAGAGCAGCCTGTGTTATTAATCTCTGACCAATCTTTCCAGCCTCTATACATATACATATATTTATACATATACATATACATATACATATACATATACAATCTGTGAGTTCAAGGCCAGCCCGAGCTACAGAGTAAGTTCCAGGACATCCAGGGCTACACAGAGAAACCCTGTCTCAAAAATCACTCCAAAAGGGGTGGAGTGTTGACTCAGTGGTTAAGCGCACTGGCTGCTCTTCCAGACATCCTTGAGTTCAGTTCCCAACAATCACATGACAACTCACAACCATCAGTAAGGGGATTTGATTCCCTCTTTGGCATGCATGAAGACAGCACTCATATACATAAATACACAAATAAGTGAATCCTAAAAACGTAAAGCAAGTTACTGGAAACTCATTGGAGCCACTTTTGTTTCTGGAGCTATGCAAATGGCTGGCTGCAGCACTTCATTATGTCAAGTGCTGTCCACTTTAGAGAATGACTTCTGATTGAATTCTGCCTTCTAATTGCACATAATAGTTTGTTGTAAAAGAAGTACACAAAACTAGGTTCAGCCTAGACACTGGGCTCATGGCCCTGTGTGTTCGTCCTCAGAAAACATTTGTTCTTAAGTTTTGTATTGATTTTCTTTTGCTTCTTTTAAATACAATCAAATAAGCCAGGCAGTGATGGCACACACCTTTAATCCCAGCACTTGGGAAGCAGGGGCAGACAGAGCTCTGCAAGTTCAAGGCCAGCCTGGTCTACATAGTGAGTTCTAGAACAGCCAGGGCTACATAGTGAAATGCTGTCTTGGAAAACCAAACAACCAAAACAAACAACAGCAACAACAACGAAAATTGAATAGGTGCTAGAGAGACGGCTTAGCAGTTAAGAGCACTGGCTGCCTGTCTGGAACCTGATTTGGGCTCCAGCATCTACATGACAGCTCACAGCCATCTGTAACTCCAGTTCCAGGGGATTTGGTGCCCTCTTCTGGTTTCCATCCCCCTAGATAAGTGGTAGCATCCGTATGTTCTTTCCCACCTTTCTTCTCCTCAGTTAGCAGCGAAGCCTGAAGATTATTTCACAGTAGTGAGTGGATGCAAACGTACTACTCTCCTTGTTTCTTTACACAGTGCACCAGATGGTAGCATGTAGCTGTGTTGAGGATTGACGGAAAGGGGCAGGATCGCCTAGCTAATCTCAAACTGTGCATCTTCCTGCTTTAGGATTATAAGCATACTACCATGCCCTGCACTGTAGAACTTTTTGATAGAAAAACTGTCGTGAGCTGTGTTTTTTGGGGCTGCGGTCGGAACCAGCCGAGCAGCCCTGGTCCGTTCCTGAATGGGGGAGTGGGTGAGAGAGGCTAGCTAAGAGAGTTAAGAGTCAGAGACACAGGACAGTGGTCAGGAGGGCAGATTCAATCCATACTGGATGCACCTCAGGTTACTCATACACCGTCTTATGTTTTCAACCAGCGGTGAGGACTGGCCTGGGTTGCATGAGACCCTGTCTCAAAGAAGAGGAGGATGAGGAGGAAAACTAGGCACAGCAGTAATGTATATGCTGGGATGTTAGGATTTAACTGAATTGGATAATAAAGATCAATAGGATTCAAATGTACAGTGAAGGAGGATGTTTCAGGCTTAGAGAAACGATGGAAATAAAAGCCCAGACTCTAAAAGGGAATGAGTGATTCAGGGGACTTTTCATAAGCCAGTAAGGCTTGATCTGAAAGCTTGCCCAAGAGCAAGTTGGAATGTGAATCCAGGGTCACTGTGAAGACATGGACTGTCCGCCTAGAAAGTTTCCAGCCATTGACATATCTATTCAGAAGCCCTTCATAGGTCCTTAGAGACAAGGTTTTGAACAAGGACAGAACATTGTATGCTATGAGACCGCTTTTCCTAGAACAAACTGCACAGTTTCAACTAGGTGCTGGGGGAGACATGGACTTCAGTCCTGCTTGTGTTGAAAGAAATGTAGGAATTTGGAGATAGGACACATAGTACTTGCCCCTTCACTTTCAATGCTAAGACTGAGGGAGTAGTAGGATGAGAGAGAGGACTGTTAAAAGATGCCTAATTCCTCATCTGGGGCAGCAGTCACTCAATTACGTCAGACTCCAGGTGTGTAATAGTCTCTCTTCTCCACCAAGCAGCCATGGACCCAGTGGCCACAGTGGGAGCCCAGCCAGGCTTACCACTTCCAACACGCAGGCATCAACCCATCACTTCTCTGTGAATTGTGTGGCCTTTTCAAACCAGGGTCTCCTCAGAACAAAGAGCACAGGTGGTGAAGCATGCTCAGCTCCGTGTGCACACACCTCTCATGGGTGCTGGCGAGAGGCTCTGAGAAGGACTAGGAGATGGCAGTCCTTCTCTTGATCGCTTGAGGGATTCTCTTTCCTTAGAGCAGCAGGGCAGTGGAGCCCCTTTGTTTTCTGCTGTGGCTATAGTGCCCTCTATAGTGCCTATGCCTGGTTCTGCGGCTTCTTGGAGGTCAGAGTTATTAGACTCTATTAGCGGCTCACTGTCTGCCTTCCTCTCCCTCCTCAGGGTATTGCAGGCACAGACGTGGCAAAGGAGGCATCAGACATCATCCTGACCGATGACAACTTCACCAGCATTGTGAAGGCAGTGATGTGGGGACGGAACGTGTACGACAGCATTTCCAAGTTCCTGCAGTTCCAGCTCACCGTCAATGTGGTAGCTGTCATAGTGGCTTTCACTGGAGCCTGCATCACTCAGGTTGGGCCGAGCTTGCATGGCCAGGATGACTTAAGGACTGAGGAGTGGGAGCAGGGGGTATAGTATACCTCCTCAGGAGTTAAGGACAGGTGTATCCCATTCCCAACCCTACTTGGACAGTTAGCTATACCAGGTTTACAGACTCCACTGTAGTGGTTTATTAATTTAACATTTTTATGTGGTGATGTCTTGCGTGTACAAGTAAAGCCTGTCTGAAGGTCAGAGAATGGAGCTTGCCACTAGCTAACCATAGGGGCCTTGAGGAAGTGAAGTGTACTTACGTGGGTTATCTTTGTCTTTATGAAGCAAGCTTGCTAGGCAGAGGTTACTTTCTCCTTATAGAGATGAGCCTGGAGTTATATAAATATGTCAAAGTCCCTGTGTACCTAGGTAACCAAATTCAAGGTCTGGTGGGTAGCAGGAGCTGAGCCACCTCAAGGGAGTGGTGGCACTGGAGAGTAAGGCAGGCTTGCTTTCTGGAGCAACTTGTAAGGCCTGGTTCTTTTTCTACAGGATTCTCCATTGAAAGCAGTGCAGATGTTGGGGGTTAACCTGATCATGGACACTTTTGCTTCCCTGGCCCTGGCTACAGAGCCCCCTACCGATTCTCTGCTGAGGCGTCACCCCTACGGGCGAAACAAGCCCCTGATCTCACATACCATGATGAAGAACATCTTGGGCCATGCGGTGTATCAGCTCACAGTCGTCTTTGTCCTTGTCTTTGCTGGTGAGCCACAATTTGGGGAGAGGGGCGGCTGTTGGGTGCCAGATCTGTTAGGGACAGAGGATGGCTGAGAGAAGAATGCAGTATGGGAGACGGTGAAGGACCGACTGACGTAATAGCAGCTTCCCCCACACGTGCTGCCTGTGTATTCCCAGCACACGGCCACAGTGCGCAGCCACAGGGATTTAAATACCAGTGGGGCCAACTGACAGACAAGACCAGATATGTTGAGACCAGAAGCAACATTTAAGATATTTCATTAATGGGGCCTGGAGAAAGAGTTCTGCAATTAAAAGCAGTTGTTGCTTTTGCAGAGGACTCGGGACCGGCCTGAGTTGGTGGTTTACAACTGTCTGTAAATTCAGTTCCAAGGGATCTGATGCCAACTTCTGACCCTCAGCAACACCAGACACACATGGCATACAGACATACAGACAGACAAAACACTCATACACATAAAGTAAAATACATACGCCTGAAGTAATTTTTGAATGTTTTATTTTTAAAAATAAAATGTTTGGCTGGTGGTGGCACATGCCTTTAATCCTGGCAGGCGGATCTCTGTGAGTTCGAGGTCAGCCTGGTTTACAGAGTGAGTTCCAGGACAGGTTCTGAAGCTACGCAGAGAAACCCTGTCTCAAAAAACCAAAATTAAATTAAAATGATCAATAGCTAGTGTAACTCAGAAGCTGACCAATTAGAATGAACTTTGTAATGTTCACAAGCCACCAGCATAGCTGTCCCAAACTGTTTCCTCTCAGCCTGAACCCTCACTGAGGCCACAGGCATCCTCTAATCCTGGCCCCGCCCCCACCAGGTGAGCAGCTGTTTGACATTGATAGCGGAAGGAAGGCGCCTCTCCATGCACCGCCCAGCCAGCACTATACCATTGTTTTCAACACCTTCGTGCTGATGCAGCTCTTCAACGAAATCAACTGCCGGAAGATCCATGGCGAGAAGAACGTCTTTGCAGGCATCTACCGCAACGCCATTTTCTGCTCTGTGGTTTTAGGCACGTTCTTCTGCCAGGTGAGATTCTATCTGGAGTTGGGATCGGAGGGCTGGGGGATGGAGGGCAGAAGCTGGGAGCCAGGATGAGGAGAGAGGGAGTTCTGGGGACCAAGGCTGTGAGTAAACACTTTGGGTTTCCTGGTTTGCTTCCATGTGCACCTTGTTCTAGAACTGGCTCAGTCAGGTGCTCCAGGGCAAGGTAGCATGTTACCTGCAAATTTCGCTTGTAGACTACTTTCACACAGTGACTAAGAAAAGGGCCACTCGTTTCTGTCTCCTTCCCATGCCAGCACACATGGAATGTGTGTGTACGGGTAGTGCAGGCTCCTCACCCCCAAGCCCTTCCCCATCCCTGCCCTTCAGTTCTGAAGGGGCTTATGCTTGAGACTGTTGCACAGCTCACAGAGAAGAGTGATGGATTGGTGCACGCGCTGAGCTCCTGTTGCTAGGAGCTAGGGCCAAGAGCACGGTTGCCTGGGAGTGGAAAGATGACTTCCTCCCTCCTGGCTGTAGTCAGAGGGTCACCAAGGCATGTGACTACAAAGGATTATAAGCAGGCCACAGCACAAAAGACCATCTTCTGGAGCTGGAGACGTGGCTCAGCAGTAAGAGAGACCAATGTTTGAATTCCAGCTCCACATCATGTGACTCATCATCACCCATAACTCAGCTCTTCTGGCTTCTGTGGCTCATGGCTGAGAGTAGAGACCCCCATACAGACACGTGTGCAGATATACACACAGACACACACATGCACACACGATTTTAAAAATAAATCTGAGAAACAAGCTGGCTTCCTCTCAGCAGAGCCCCTCCCTCCAGCCCCATCCGCCACCCCCATTCCTAGCTCTGTTCCTCTTCTGCTGTCCCTTCCCTCTGGCACCTTTTGGCCTCAGTCACAGGAAGCCTCCAACTTCCTCTGCTGCATATTAATACAGTCCCAATAGTCACAGTGACTGCATGATTCCCATTGAAGTGCTCTATAAAGATTGTGTCTGTCACCTTTCTTCACTTCTAGAGTCTTTCTTTTCTGTTCCACAAGAGAATCAGTACTTGCCCCACTCTGGCCCTGCAGGGGGCGCTGTGGCATTGACCACCCTGTCAGTCCTGGTGGGTGGAAGGCCGACTCTCGAGATGCTTCCATCATGGCGGGCTGCCCTTTGCTCTGTTTCAGATTGTCATCGTGGAGTTCGGGGGTAAGCCCTTCAGCTGTACAAGCCTCACCCTGGAGCAGTGGTTGTGGTGTCTCTTCATAGGCATTGGAGAGCTTTTGTGGGGCCAGGTGAGCGTGGGGTGCCCTCTGCAGATCCTCAAGGCTGTAGACCGTTCCTCTCACAATGACAGGGACAAGTGGCTACAGATACCAGTGTCTCGTTCCGTCTTACCTCCCGTCCCCTTCCCTCCATCAGGGCTTCAGGCTCCTTCCGTCTTGGGGTGCGGGGGGCACTGCCTTCACTTCAGGGGGTTATGTTCAACTTAGCTTTTTTTTGAAACAGAAATAGAAATTTTGCATTAGTGGTTGAAGAGTTCAGAGTCGATGTCACTCTGCTGTAGCAGCGGTCTAACCAGGGCTATTGCGATGCTGCAGTTCAGGGTTCCCTGCCTCTTCAGTGTGGTGTGTCACCATGGCTTTCTCTGGTTGAATGCCCAACTCCTACCTAAGATAAATCAGTACTGCACATGCGCAACAGAGGGGGAGTGACACGTAGATCAGCACAGCCTCTGGAATTTACTGGAAGGGCCTGAACCACGCTTCTCCTTTTCACAAGCTGAGTAGCCATGGGCAAGTTACCTAACCACTCCATTTATCAGGGGCCTCAACATAGGATAATAGAGTCATCACTAATTGTCACTAAACAAAAAATACGACAGTACCTATTATAAGTACTTAGTGGGTGTCAGTATTGATTACAAGAATGCCAGCTTAGCTAAGAGTCTCATCCTTCCCTTAATGCCATTCTGGCCTGGGCCATTCTTTGCAGCTCTCAAGTCTCAGCTGAGAACGCTTTAGTGCCCCTTCACAAGCTAAAGATGGGATTAAGGAAGAAGAAACTCTTAGCTAATTGTCTTCCTATTCCTTTCCCAGCCCTCAACTCCCTAAGTACAAGTGCCCTTCTCCTTCTCCCAGCGTGGTTTGCCCCAGCCCTACGTCCTCCCTCTGTGCCAGCTCGGTGGTTTGTGTTGTCTCAAAAGACAAGGATCCCACTGGGAAGGAAGAACCAAACCGAGACAGAGTGAGTGTAGGAAGGCTCATGCTGAGAGATGATGGGAATTGAGTTCCCTTCTGTGTGTCGGTGAACACCAGCACCTTCCTAAGAGCTGGCAGTTAGAACAACTGGTTAATCTTCTGGGCAGTTTGGTGCTTGTTGGTGCTGTCCTGGTGGGAAAGGCGTAGGCAGAGGAGCCCGCAAAGGGCCTGGACCAGGCCAGCTAACATCTCTTCTTCTCCAATTTGGCTGTCACCCTCTTTGCTGCGACTGCTCTCAGGTGATCTCTGCCATTCCTACCGAGTCTCTGAAGTTCCTGAAGGAGGTTGGACATGGCGCTGATGAGGAGGAGATCACCAAGGATGCTGAGGGAATGGAAGAGATTGATCTTGCTGAGATGGAGCTGCGCAGAGGCCAGATCCTCTGGTTCCGTGGCCTGCACCGGATTCAGACTCAGGTACTCTGTAGTGACTTGTCCTTACCCTGGGAGAAGAGATCTCCCCATCCTGGGAAGGGGTAGGAAAGGGGCGATTCCCAGCAGCCAGCAAGCACCCTTACCCCCATCCTAAGGCTCACTGCTCCTTAGCTTCAAGGTCAGCAAGGCCAGAGGTCTCTGTGGAACTGCTCTGGGAGGTAACAGACTGGACCGTGGGTCACTATTCATTCATAGCTGTGGTTGGCCCTACAGCCCACCCATCAAGTCTGTCAGTGGAGCTGTCTTCCCACATGAGGTCTGTTCCAACACCAGTCTTGACCCCACGAGAGGGACTGTGTAGTCCTTCCCTGGCCCCAAAGAAGGAAAAGAGACCCTATTTTTATAAAATTGAATGATAGTGGGCTTCCCTGAGTCACTTGGTATGACCTTCTTGTAGCTGTTGTGATAAAAGCTGTTATCTGGGGAGGTCTTTGTTAAAGACTCACCAGCCTACATTTTCCTAGTTTGATGTAAGGCCTCTCTGGGAAACCTGGTGATTAAGTTGTTATCTTTGGAAAGGCTCAGACTTGCTTCCTAAAGAGGAAGAGACTGTCCTTTCTCCTTTCCCTTCTTGTGATTTCTGACATGGAGTACCAGTGAGTCCCTGCTTGTAGCCCTGACAGTAACTCTTTTTTTCTCCACTTTCCTTGCATGACTACCTCTGGGTGAGTGGGCTAGCCTTAGCATTGACAGTGCTTTTCCTCTGCTCCACCCCTCAACCCTTTCCTGTTTAAGTCCCAAGATTCCTGAACAAACCATCAGTTCCAAGATCTCAAGGGGACTCTCCAGAGCAAGGCCTGTTTCCTCCTCCTCCTTGGCTTAGAGATCCCCAACATATTTCATTTTCAAAAAACTGTCCTTTGACTGATTTAGAAAATTGTCTGACCAGCGCTCTCCCTGTTTTGGTGCGCAGGGAAGATAAATGAATGCACACTCAAAACTGTGTACCCTGTCCTTCCCTGAGCAACATGCCAGGTAGAAAAGGGGGCAAGACACAGGTAGGGAACTCTGGCTCCTTTCCTCTCTCTGCCAGGAAGGGAATCAACCTGTGACCTGCAGACAGCCTCATGCCCCTTCCACTGAGCCCCTTGGGTGACTGTAGATCTTAGCGCCTTGACTCCTCCCCCAGAACCCCCGCTGCTGTCCTTTGGGTCTGCTCTTTCCAAACAACCTCTTTGCTTTTCTTCCCTTTAGGATCACCCACCTCCTCTTCTACTGTGTGATTGTTTTATTTTTTCCCTAGCCAGGATCCCTCCTTCCAGAGCCTCCTAGCTCCTCGTCAGTCTTCCTCTGGGGAGCTGAGATTCATGGACCTTCCCCCCCACACTGCCAGTGTCCATTCCCACACTCCTCTGTTTGACCTCGCTGCACATGTAGCTTTAGACATCCTTCTTTCCCTGCTAGAACATAAGGTAGCTGGGTCAGAATGACCTTAAAACCTCAACTGGAGATCAAGCTTGGTGGTACATGTCTATATTCTCAGCACTCAGGAAGATGAGGGTTCCTAGTTCCAGGCTAGCCTGGGCCATATAGCTAGATCCTACCTCCAAGACAGAGAAGCAAAAGCCTAAACTTGGGCTCCAAAGGCAGCCTATTAAAGACGCCATTGACGAGTCGAGGTCAGCCTGGTCTGTAGAGTCCCAGGATGGGCTTCAAAGCTACAGAGAAATCCTGTCTCAAAAAACAAAAAACAAACAACAACAAAAAAGCACCATTGGCAAGATCCATCCGTACCATTGTAATTGGCACCTGACTGGTGGTGCCAAGGCGGTGTTGAGTGCACCTTCCATGTCTGAGTCCTCCCACCCCATCAACTGCTCAGCCTCAGGGTCCTAGCAAAACCCTTATTGTCGTGGCTGTAATTTCCCCTTTTCCTGGTTCTAGGCGGTTCTTCCCTTTCCCTTCCCCCCTTTAGTTTAGGGGAGGTAAAAGCAGTAGAAAGCAAGTATTTGAAGAATTAAAGGGCTGCACTCTTAGAACAGTAATGTGGAGTGCAATGTCATTGTGGAAGTTGGACCTTGTAACAGCTTCTACTGTCTTCATGGGCTGCAACCTTCCCAAGGGCAGCCCTCACCTACAGCCTTAGCCCTCAGTCCACTGAAACAGAAGAGCGCATAAATGAGAGAAGGGTGGTGTTTTAACCTTGGTCTCCACCTGGAGGTTCCCCCAAGCGTTGTATGGCCTACCTGGAGGCTTGCTACACAAAAGAGGCCTAAGCCTCATCTTCTGGGAGTCAGTGGCAGGAAAAAAACAGTGCCTTTCCTGTCCTTCTGGGCCGTTGCTAAGGGGGAATCGCAAAGGATCTCAGAAGGATAAACAATCCCCTTTCTATTTGTTCCTTATGACTTAGGGGGTCAAAGAAAAGGGTAATAGATTGATTAAGACCCCAGATCACAGTCACAGTGGGAAATTGATGCTATTAATTGCCTCTGTCCTTGAGGTTGAGCAAGCTGAAAGCCAGAGACCTGCTCTGGTTGGCAGGAAGACTTTGAGAGTTGTAGCTTCCGGGCGCCACCAGCCACTGGGGTGCCATTTCTCAGGAAACTGGTGACCTCTTGTCAGCAGGTCTGCCAGGGAAGGTCTCCAGTTCTTACGTAATGCAATGAGTAGAATTCTAATAGGCCACCTGAACTCCACTCCTGACAAACACCTCATCCAAACTAAGCAGCTCAGTCTAGCAGTCTTCCACCATGGCCGCCCGGGTGTTGTTTTCCTGGAAATTGTGTAAAAATAACTGGTTGACTTAGTTGGTTTTGAGGCTCCTGAGCCTTAAATTTCACTAATATAGACTTTTCTTCCAGTATGCCAGTTTGTCTGCCTCATCTTCAAGAGTACAGGTCAAATGGTGAATGAGCTACTTACTGCCTAGCTGTTAGTGGTGGGGAGACATTCCTTTACATTTTAAAAGCCTTTCGACACATGTCCATCGTAGGCTACAGAGGAAACAAAAGTGAATCGTAGCTGGATGTTTGAAAATCCATAGCAAATTGTTCCTTAAATGAAGTCTGATGTGCAATTAAGGCCCTCCACAACCCCATCCTCACTGGCTGCTCTGGGTTTGAGGGAATCTCTCTTGCTTTCCATCCCCTCCTCCTGCCCTCCTGATCCTGCCTTCCTCTTCCTCCCTCCTCTCTAGCTGTGGAGCAAAGCTGTCTCACGCTCTGATTCTTTGCAGTTTGAAGTAACACATTCCAGACGCTCTGATTCTTTGCAGATTGAAGTAACTAACACATTCCAGACGCTCTGATTCTTTGCAGATTGAAGTAACTAACACACGCTCTGATTCTTTGCAGATTGAAGTAACTAACACATTCCAGACGCTCTGATTCTTTGCAGATTGAAGTAACTAACACATTCCAGACGGGATCCTCTTTTAAGGGAGTCCTAAAGCTACAGAACATGAGCCAGCACCTTGATGTAAACCTGGTTCCTAGCTCCTATAACTGCAGTTGCACCAGTCAAATCTCCCCCTTCCTACGTTACAGCTCCTCCTATGGGCAGTGAGTGAGAGTCTGTTCAATGCATGATTTGCTAAGGGGACCACAAGAGAGCACGTGGCATCTACCTTAACCAGCCGTGGTTACTTATCCTTTACATTTGTTTTCCCCTTTGAGCTTTTGACTTAAAGGAAGAAAAGACAAAAAAGTTTCCCCCAACCCTGGTTAAAACCAGGCTGTATTTCATTTGAATTTTTGTTTTGTTTTGTTGTGTTTTTCAAGACAGGGTTTCTCTGTGTAGCTTTGGAGGCTGTCTTGGAACTCGATCTGTGGACCAGGCTAGTCTCAAACTCACAGAGATCTGCCTGCCTCTGCCTCCCGAGTGCTGGGATTAAAGGCATGTGCCACCAACGCCGGGCTCATTTGATTTTTTTTTAATGTTGGAAAGTTATTAACTGTCGCACCTGCTGTGCAGCCTGCATCGAGAATGTAGCGAGGTGGTCGGGATAGATGACACAGAGACCGGTCGGTTGCTTTAAGAAAACTTTATGCTTCCCAAGTCAGCTTAGGAGGAGACCCCAGTCCGCTTAGGAGAGCTCTCAGGAGAAGTCTCTCCAAGAAAAAAGAGCTTCCCTTTTTAAGGACTTCTGTCATCCATCTACATACAATTCTTTCCAGACTTCTCACCCTCCTGGCTGGTGGTTTAATCTCTGGCCCCAGAATCGGGGAGACACAGCAGGGAAACAGGAAGAGACATCTAGCCGTAGGGGGTGTCAAAGTCATGGTTTTTCAGTGAGCGAGCCCTTATCTGAGCCCTATCAAGAGCTTTAGCACTGAATTGTTTTCAGTAAACATTATCTCACAGCTGCCTGCTCCCAGGCCGAAGGGGAAGTGGGTCTCTGTTCAAGGTCTGGTGTCCCCACAATTAACCTTAATAACTATTTTAAAGACAATTTTAAAATAACTTTTAAAGCCCTGTTTTCTGACTGTCCCTCTCCATTGCTTGCTGCTTCTTTTCTTGAGTTGTTTTGCTTTGCTGTGTCTTGCCTCTCCAACTCTCCTGAGTCTAAAGTAGCCTCTTTAGATAAAGGTCAGTCCCCTGAAGACTTAGGAAGTCTCTTTACCAGGGGCGAGGTTAACCAGCCGCTGCCCACAGGTTAACCAGGACCTGTCCTGATGGAAATGATACTGAACTTGTTCAATCATTGCAGTCCTTTTGGCTACCACTGCACTGTTAGCTGGCAGCAAGACTGGAGAGCAGAAGTTAGTTCAACCTGTATTGTCTCACCTAATAGAACTGTATGTAGTTCAAGAACCAATTCATTCACAATGTAGGAGAAATGTAACTTCTCTGACCCATGTGGTGGTGTGTGTCACCCCAGCACCCCAGATTGTTGACCGCTTGCTAATGCCTTCCTCTTTCTGGTCCTGTACCTTCCCTGAATTGGGAGCAGAGGGAGGCAGTCACTACGGTGAGCGAAGGTCCTCCACTGTCACATCCTATGGACTTTAGATACTCGAGTGCCAAGTCCATCCCTCCCCACAGCCAGCCCTAGGTTGCATTGCCTGTGGTTCACATGGCTGTGAAGCAGGTTTTCCAAGCTTGAGCTTCCTTTTGCCTTTTAGCTCCCCATAGAAGACCAGGCCTGAGTTGGAAATAAGGGTGTAGGTGCCAGTGATATCTGCTGTTTCTTCAAGGCCCAAAGGCAGGCAAAGTGCAAAGAAACCTCTCCCTCTAGTCCTTCCGCATTCCTCACTTAATCTCTTTTCTCTCTACATTCATTCCTGCTTAGTCATTCACTTCTCTGGTAGAAAGGGCCAGTGCTGGCTGTCCCAGAGACTTGATGGCGGAAGACAGAGACCAGGGGGTCCAGAGGAGCTGGTAGACCCCCATGCCATGAGCCCCCAAAAGTTCAGACCAAAGGAGACAGACCACACCTGCTTTCTCTAGCTTGTCCATTCCAGAGAACTTAAAATGACTTCAGCTGTGCATCGGATCTCCCTAAGGCCCCAGAAGGATGACCTAGACTTCTCTACCCCTAGCCTATGAATAGGGAGTAGAAGAGTACAGTATTCCCATGGAGAAATTGTGCTCTGAGCTCCAAAGTATGCTCCACATTCACCTGTGTTTCAGCCTACTTTGGGCTTCTGCCTCACGAAGGAATTACCCCTCAGTCAGCCCCTCAGGAAGCATTTCCCCGCGGTTTTGAAAAATGACGTGTGAAGAGGAAAGCTTCGGGTGCATAAGTGAGGGATGTGTGAAGCTCCGATAGCCCTCCCTTGTTCCCACCTCAGACCCTGTGGCACAGAAGATGCCAGCCCTGCATCAGGTGGTGACACACCGTGTGGCTGTCCGTCAGCACATGTTCTCTGAGTCAGTGTTGGAGTCGAGCATTCCCGCATAGCCCCATGCCTCTATCGCTCACCCTTTCCCTCACCCCCTGGGCCCGGGGCCCTGACTCCAAGCTTGAGCTCCCTTACAGGTAGCTGGTTCCCCTGGTCTCCAGAAGTCCTGAACTCTAACTGAATGATTGTTCTTTGCTTCCCCCAAAGGTTTCCTTTTTTCCCAGCTGTTCATCCCTCTTCACTTGTATCTCCTTCATTTGTTTACCCTTAAGAGTGTTGTTAATTGCCCCCACAGGGGAAAGGAAAAGTCATAAAACAGGCTCAGACCCTCTGACCCTAACTTTCACAAATCAACTCCTTTTATAATGGACTTCACATAAAATTATTGCAATGAAGTGTCCAGTTGCTTAAAAATGAAAGGAAAAAACCCTAGAAGCAACAAATTTAAAAATCACTGGATAATAAACTAGAGGCATAAAGGTCCCTGCCCTCCTATATGACTCTGTAAAGATGACAATAGAAGATAAAAATACTGCTACAATACCTACCAAAGAGAGGTGGTTTTCGACCTATCCCTTGGTCAGACTATTTATACCAGGGCTAAGGGAGAGGGTGTTGAGTTAAAGCTCGCTTAACCTAACTTGTCTTGCTCAAATATTTCAAGTATAGATTACAGAAAACTTAGGACCACACAGAAGTTAGAGGTAGGCTCCATTCTGCCCCATCTCGCACAGATCTGAGCAGGGCAACCAGCCTGGTGAAATTAGCCAGCGGATAGAAAGTGGCCCTCACTGTCGCTCCACCAGGTCCCTGACGCCTTTACACTTCTGTATGCTGCTGTGTTGAACTGACTGTAGAGTGGCAGAGTCCCTTGCCTTCTAAGCTCTGAACACTCCAGTCATGGGTGACTCTGTAGGCTATAGAGGAGAGAGAGCCACAGTTCTGATGGTGAGGCTGCCATAGGCAACGTCTTTGCAGGATCTTAAAATGGTGAGAAGTCCTGGGACAGAAAACCCAGCTGGTTTATTTGGCTAACTGTGTGTGCTCCACACTCTTGCTTCTTCTCCAGGGATATATATTTTTTATTTAAACAGCAGAAGACTAAATGAGATTCTTAAACCACCACCCATTACTACTTAACCTTCTCCCAACCTTAACAATTTCTGCATCCCTCTCGTTTCTTTTATGAGGGAGACTGTATCTGAACCAGAGTAGGACTGACCACTTCCCCCAACAACAACAAAAATCCTATTACCATCTGACTTTCCTGGCCTTCCTTCTCTGTTCCCTCTGGCATCCAACTCCCCCTACACACTCAACCTCAAACTACCAGCCCAGATTCTAATCCACACTTGAGTGACAAAGTTCAGAAATGTAAAATTAACAAAGCAAAACAACAGCAAAAACACCAAACAAGTTGATGCTTTGATTAAGCAAAAGCTTCTCCAGGGATTTATTGCAATTGGTCTTCTCTGGGCTCCTGACAGCTTGAGTCCGTTCTTCTATGTGGTAAAATGAAGACTGACAGGGCAGTGTGTTTGCTCATCTACCCAGGGACACTGCAAAGTGTCTCTTTTCTTCATTCTTTTCAACTGTCCTGTCAGAGAAGTCAGTCATTGGTAACCGGCTTCCTGGATCAAATTTCTCTCTTGGTCATCCGCTTCTTCACACAAGGTCATATTCTCTGCCTAATATGCACATGGCTGGGCAACAGCATGAATTTACATGTTGGGTTTGGGCAACATGGCTGTGGATCAGACATGGATGTACAGTTGAATGGTGGACCCTGAACCTTCTTCCGTAGGCAGGGCAAGGCTTCTTTTGACACCCTGTGTTTTATCTGCGTGGGGGTACAAATATATGCATGTCTTCTGACTGAACAGTTAGGGACTTAATTTCCTGCATACTGCGGAATGAAGATTGATTTGTGTGCCTGGCTGTGCAGTACTCACGGTCACTTGTCATCCAGTGTTTATTGTGTGCAGATTGGTGAATGTCGGCTCTTTGATGGGGTTTAACAGATAACAAAGCTGCAGTGTGCAATTCTCCCATCCCACACTCACAAAAGGTTTGGCTTCAACACAGAAACCCACCTGTGTGGATTGTCTGTTAATGTAACCTAGTTCCAACACGCTGGCCTCTATCAAAAGATCTAATGAGTCTCTTGGTTTGATTTCATTTTCAGAGTGGATTGTTTGGGAATGCTGTTTGCTTTGTGCTACTTTTTTGAATGCACCCTTTGAAATGCCCTACTGTCTGCCTCACTCACTCACACCTTGTGCTTGAGATTTGAGGCGTGTGGTGGTTTGGGTTGTTGAGCCATTGTGTTTCATAGTTGGGGTTTTGTTACTTTCCTTAAACCACTCATTTTTCTTGTTCTGCTTGCTAATTCTCACTTCCCTGTCTTCTCATCCTCTTTCTTGTTCCCCTGGTATAGATTAGAGTGGTCAGAGTGCTCCATAATTTCCGTGAAGTCACTCATAAACCCAGGAACCAAGTCTCCATTCACCACTTCATGACCCAGCCTGGATACAACGCAGATAATGAGTTTCCACAGTCATTCCAGGATGATCAAGAGGGAGATCCTGAATCCGCTCCTAAGGCAGGGGACTAGGTTGCTCCTGTTATATAGTGAGGCCACTCCATATGACAACAGAAACAACAGTGCTATGGATTGCAACCAAGTGCAAATCGTTGCCTCCCATTCCAACAGCCCTCTGCAAAGCCTGGAGACATCAGTTTGAACTTCTGTTCTCCTATTCCTGTCCCTGCTTTCCCTATTTCTTTTGTTTGTTTGTTTATTATTTAAGACCTTTATTAACAGGTGCTTACAGTTTGTTGACTTTTTTTGAAAATATCAAGTTGTAAACTTTTATTACAAATTAAAAACAAAGTTCTTTAAAATCTCAACTTGCCAGCTCCCACTACCCCCTTCTGTGTTCCCAATCTGTTTAGGAGATCTTGCCTCATTC